CCCCCCATAATCATATTACCCCCAACAGGAGTCCTCTCCTCTTTTTTGAAACTGGAAATATGGTAACCCTAAGCTAAAAAGACCAAGATTTTGATGTGAACCTTTTATTACAAAACACCTAAAAGAAACCACATTAACATAAACATTGACAACCTCCCATACAACAATACCTTATTTTTTGTACACCCCTTTTCACCATTAACACATTAACCTCTCACAAACTACCCTTAGCCCAGGAGGAAACAACAACTTCCACTCCATACCTTTGTCTTTTTGAAATAAACACAGCCATTCTACTTTCCTCCATCTCTTTTCTGCCTCTTGGAGAAGAGGAGGAGGAGTTGCCCTTCATGTAAAAGAGCCATATGATTGCTCAGAGCTCCAGTATGAAACTGGAGATAGGCCTGTCAAAAGTCTCTGGGTTAGGATCAGAGAGAGCAACAAGGGCGATGCTGTAGACTATCAGACCAGAGGGAAGTGATGGATGAAGCTTTCTTCTAACAGCTAGCAGAAGTTTCCTGATAAGAAGTCCTGGTTTTCATGGGGGACTTCAGTCACCCTGACATCTGCTAGGAAGGTAATACAGCAGTGCATAGACAATCCAGGAAGTTTTTGGAGGATGTTGGTGACAGATGCTGGAATGGCCAACTTGGGCCATGTTCTTCTTGACCTGCTTCTTACAAACAGGGAAGAATTGGTGGGGAATGTACTAGTAGATGGTAACTTGGGCAGCAGTGACCACAAGATGTTTGAAATCAGGATCCTGAAAGGAAGGATGGAGAGCAGCAGCAGAGAGCACCTTGGACTCGCTTAGGGAACTCATGGGTAGGATTCCCTGGGAAGCCAGTCTGAGGGGTAGAAGAGCTGGCTGTATTTAAAGAAGCCTTACTGAGAGTGCAGAAACAAACCATCCCAATGTGGAGAAAGACTAACAAATATGGCAGAAGACCAGCTTGGCTTAGCAGGGAACTCTTCAGTTAACTAAATCACAAAAAGGAAACTTATAAGTGGAAACAGGGACAAACAACTAGGGAGGAGTATAAGAGTATAGCTCGGGCATACAGGGATGAAGTCACGAAGGCCAAAGCACAATTCGAGTCACAGCTATCATGGGGTGTTAAGGGGAACAAGAAGGGTAGCGACAAGTATTTCAGTAACAAGAGGAAGATCGGGGAAAGTATGGGTCCCTTGCTGAATGGGGGAAGCAACCTAGAGACAGAGGATACAGAAAAGGCTGAAGTACTCGATGCCTTTTTCACCTCAGTCTTCACAGGCAAAGTCAGCTCTAAGACTGTTGCACCTGGCAGCACAGTTTGGAGAGTAGGTGAGCAGCCAAGAGTGGCAAAAGAACAGGTTGGGGACTGTTTAGAAAATCTGGACATATACAAGTCCATGGAGCTGGATGGGATGGGATGCACCCAAGGGTGCAGAGGGAGTTGGCTGATATGATTGTAAAGCCACGGGCTATCATCTCTGAAAACTCATGGCTAGTGGGAAAGGTCCCAGATGACTGGATAAAGGCCAATATAGTGCTGGGCTTAGAGAGTAGTAATCAATGGCTCAATGTCTAATTAGTAGCTGGTATCAAGTGGAGTGACCCAGGTGTTGGTCCTGGGGCTGGTTTTGTTTTGTTCAATATCTTCATCAATGATCTGGAAGCTGGCATAGAGTACATCCTCAGAAAGTTTGCAGATGACACCAAGCTGGAGGGTAGGGTAGGGTTAGTATTCAGAGAGATTGGAGGATTGGACCAAACAAAATGTTATGAGGTTCAATAAGGACAAGTACAAGGTCCTGCACTTAGGATGGAACTTAGCACCAGGACAGGCAGGGGGCTGACTGGCTCAGCAGCAGCTCTGCAGAAAAGGACCTGGGGGTTACAGTGGACAATAAGCTGAATATGAGCCAACCATGTGCCCTTGTTGCCAAGAAGATTAATGGCATACTGGGCTGCATTGGTAGGAGTATTGTTAGGAGATCATGGGAAGTGATTATTCCCCTCTATTCAGCACTGGTGAGGCTACATTTGTAGTGCTGTGTTCAGTTTTGGGCCCCCCACTACAGAAAAGATGTGGACAAATTAGAGCGAGTCCAGGGAGGGCCAATGAAAAAGATGAGGGGGTTGGGGCACATGAGTTATGAGGAAAGGCTGAGAGAACTAGGTTTATTTAGTCTAGAGAAGAGAAGGCTGAGAGGGGATTTAATAGCAGCCTTCAACTATTTCTGGGTGGTTCCAAAGAGGATGTAGCTAAATTGTTCTCAGTGGTGGCAAGTGACAGAACAAGAAGCAACGGTTTCATATTGCAGCAAGGGAAGTTTAGGTTAGATATTAAGAAGAACTTTCTCACTAGGGGGGTAGTAAAGCACTGGGACAGGTTACCCAGAGAGGTTGTGG